TTTTTTTTTTTTTTTTTTTTAGATAGGGTATTGCTGTGTAGTTCAGGCTGGCCTTGAACTCACTGTGTAACTGAGGCTGTCCTCAAAGTCTAGGCGATCCTCCTACCTCAACCTCCCGAGTGCTGGGATTATAGGCATAGGCCACCACACCTGGCTTAGCTTCTTGATGCTTGTCAGTCTTTTTTAATTTTAGCTATTTGAACAGGTACATCATATTGTGATTTTAATTTACATTTCCCTAGTAACAATGTTGAGCATCTTTTTATGTGCTTATTTCTTATTCATGTATTGCTTTTGGTGATGTATCTGTTGAAATCTTTTGTCTACTCTTTACTGGATGATTTGAGTTTTAAGTTCTGAGACTTCTTTATGTTTTCTGCATACAACTCATTTATCAAATGCTTTGCAAAAGTTTTCTCTCAGTCTGTGGCTATGGCTTGTATTTGTTCTGTTTGGTTTTGTTTGTTTGCAGCACTGGGGATTGAAGCTGGGGACTTTGCACTGAGCTGCATCCCAGCCCTTTGGTTATTTTTTATTTTGAGACAGTATCTTGCTGAGTTTTCCAGGCTAGTTATCCTTCCCCTTTTGCCTTTGTGCCTTTGTGCCTTTGACAAAAATTAGTTATCCACATGTGAGTGAATTTATTTCTGGAGTTTCTGCTCTGTTCCATTGATGTGTGTCTAATTGTATGCTAACACCTGGTTTTAGTACTACAGCATAATAATAATTCTTAGACTCAATCGCTGCTCCCTCTTTGTTTGTTTCCCCTTCCAGGCCTTTTGCATTCCCACATGGACCTTTAAATCATCTTGTTGATTTCTACAAAAAGCTGACAGCAATTTCAGCTGGAATTGTGTCAAATCTATAGATAATTTTGGAAAGAACTAATAATGATGTCAGGTCTCCCAACCCATGAGTAACTTAGGCCTCTCCGTTTATTTAAGTCACATTTACTTTCTCTCAGCAGTACCTTATGTCTTTAGGGCCTGTGTTTTTCACATCTTTATTTTACCCCTAGTACTGGGCATTGAACCCAGGGTCTTTGCGCTCAACCACATCTCCAGCCCTTCTGTTTTGAGATAGGGTCTCACTAAATTGACCCGGCTGAGCTCAAAATTGTGATCCTCCTGCCTCAGCCTCTCAGAGTGCTGGGTTGTCAGGCAGGTACCACCAGTGTTTCACATCTTTTGTTGGACTTAATCCCTAAGTATTTCATTATTTTTGTGCTGTTATAAGTGGTATGGATTTAGTTCTGATTTTTCACTGTTAATATATAGAAATACAATTGATTTTTTAATATTCATCTTATAGCCTTTTTTTTTTTTGGTACCGGGAATTGAACTCAGGACGTTGCACTTGCCAGGCAGGTGCTTATGCCACTGAG